CCCCAAAGGGAAAGACCATCAATTCTGAATTTTTATGTCAAACGAAACTCAATTAAAATTCATCTCTTCCCCTACAGCTTATAATATTAGATTGCTACAGGAGGACTCAAGTGTAGAAAACACTACTTCTCACACTATGGCTTTAGGCTCTCCTATCAGTACATAATGGAGGGGATATGTTCTCAATGGGGAACAGAGAACTGCGAATTTTTTCCCATTGACTATATTTGCTGACAGAAAATATCAAACACCATGTAAAAACAAAATAATCTTATTTTATTGTTGAGACAATCCAGTGGAGGGTCAGCAAACTACAGCCTGAGGGCCAACGCCAGTCCATGCCTTGTTTTCATACTGCCAGAGAGCCAAGAATAGTGTTCACATTATTAGGGAATTGTAAAAAGGAAAAAATGATGAACATACAACAGAGACAGTATTGTAGTTCACAAAGTCTAAAACACTTTACTATCTGGCACTGCAGATAAAACATTTTCCAACCCCCAAACTAGACAATACCCTAGTAAAGAAGATTGCTAACAAAAACTACACACAAAGAGCTATTCACGGTTTCTGCCTAAATTCATTGTTAAGAAATAGTCATCAGGGACTTCCCTGGTGGCGCAGTGGTTGGGACTCTGCACTCCCAATGTGGGGGGCCGGGTTCGGTCCCTGGGCAGGGAACTGGATCCCGCATGCATGCCACATCTAAGGAGCCCACCTACTGCAACTGAGGAGCCGGCGAGCCCCAAGGAGCCCATCTGCCGCAACTAGGACCAGGCACAACCAAATAAATAAATAAATAAATATTAAAGAAAAGAAAAAAGAAATAGTCATCAGAAAGAAGATGGAGGGACAAATTTTACCATCCACAGGGTTTTTACTTCTTGGACCTCTATTATTAAGCATTCGTCAGCAAATGTCCATAGAGAGTATCTTGTGTCAAGTCTAGTGTGTTTAAGCTGGTCAGGGTGTGATAAGACCAACAACTTCATTTTGTTCATAGCCTCCCTCCTGAACTGCTTGCCTCCATCCAACTCAAACGTTGTTACCAGGCGTCCCAGCCTTGCTGAGACCTTGCTTTACCCTTTGTTCACAGCATTGCCTTGTTCCGAGATCTGCTGGTCAATATCACTTCTCTGGCTCTGATCTCAACTTCCATTTGTAACCACTCTTTGATGGTGCTACTTCAGAGCAAACCCAGAATGGTCTCACAGAGACTAGCCCATTCTTATGTGACAGTTCTTGTACTGTACAGTGTAGCTGATGAGTGCCCATACTGGTATGAAGCCAGGCATCCTGTCACCCAGGGACATGGAAACTGAATACGCAACTGGTGATGCCAGACCAGGAAGCCAGCCAAACTGGCTCAGTCAGGACGAAAATCTACTTTGTGTTTGGTTTTTGCTCCAGTGTGCCTAATTCATTTGATGGGGACTTGGGTTTTCTTTTCAGATTTTGAATTTGAGAAAGATATTAATTTGGGGAATGAACTCAGGAACACTGGAATTCTAAGGCAGTCCACGGCAGTGTCTCTTAACTAAAAGCCAGGGACCCCTATGACAATGTTTATTTAGTATTGAATCCCGCTCGCTTGAATCAGAATTCTCTTGGGTGCTTTTAAAAATTCAGAATACTAGGACCAGCTCCTTAATATCTAATGAATCAGAATTTCTGAGAATGTTGTCCCAGTGTTATTCATTTGTGTACTAAATTTTCAGGACCAATGACCTAAGAGGGCTGTCGTACAGTTTCCAGGGGATTTTTTTTTTTGACCCACTGAAATTATTTGCAAAAATTATCTGTGATGGTTCAAACTGCATTTTTGTAAAGTGATATTACCCATCATGAAATTCACAAATCAAAATGATAAGAACCTCTGGTTTTAAGAGGAAATAGACCCACTTACTGGACAAGTAACAAGTCTTGGAAGGATAATGTTCCTCCCTGCCCATGGGGTCATGCAGCTCTTCACAGGTGCTAGCAGCGCAGACCCCCAACATTTCCATTTTACCCAGAGAAGTCGTTTTGCTAATTTTTCTTTGAGATCAGAGCTCCTCTGGGGTGCAGCTGAGGTCTGACCTTGCTATTTTGTATCCTAAAATCATTTGCATTCAGTAAAAGGTTGTCCAAGTATGAGGGCCACACGAAGCTCTTCATAGAACACAACTGACCCTGCCAGCATCTAAAACAAATGAAAACACCGCTGAGTGGGGAAGTGTTTGATTGCTCATCTCTCATCCCCAGTCAGTCAGGCCACTCACTTTACCTCTTTCCTCCAGTTCCTCTTTTGTGAAAAGGATTTTTTTTTTTAACTGTCTTGGGATTCTGCACCCAGTTCCAATGTGTGGGGTTTTTCCACACCTCTAAGGGATTCTCACATACCACCAGATGGGTGTCCTACAATTTAACATAATTCTGACACTATCTACCTGAAGATAGCATCAGATCCCACAGGTTAAGGGCTCATCCCCTCCCACTTTGAGTGCCCATCACAACTCCAGATTGTAACTTGTGCTTCTGATCCATCAGCTATAGATCTGAGAACCTATATAGAACCTCCTTGGGTTTAATTAATTTGCTAGAGAGGCTCACAGAACTCAGAGAAACAATTTACTTACTAGATTGCTGGTTTATTATAAAAGGATATAACTCAGGAACAGCCAGATGGAAGAGATGCATAGGGCAAGATATTTGGGAAGAGGCTTGCAGTTTCCTTGACCTCTCTGGGCACACCACCCACCCAGCACCTCCGTGTGTTCACCAACCTGGAAGCTCTCTGAACCCTGTCTTTTGGGGGGTTTTATGGAGGCTTCATTACATAAGCATGATTAAGTAAATCATTAGCCGTTCATTGTGACTGAACTCAATCTCCAGCCACTCTCTCCTCCCTGGAGGTGGGTGTGGAGGGGATGAAAATTCCAACCCTGTAATCCCTCTGTTGGTTTCCCTGGCAACTGGCACAGTCCTAAGGAAGTCACCTCACTGACATAAGAGAAGACACCTTTATTACTCTCAGCACAGGAAACTCCAGGGGTTTTAGAAGCTCTGTGCCAGAAACCTGGTGGAAGACCAAATATATACTTCTTCCTATAAATCTCAATACCACAGATCTGACTCTACTTACGTCCCAAAGTTTAAAAAAATAATAATAATGTGAGAGTGAGAAAGTTAGAGATTGCTCAGTTGCTACCTAACTCCTTTGTTTTATGGAGGAAGATATCAAGGCTCAGAGTTAAAGGGATCTGTGAAAAGTTCCTAGCTTGATAAAAACTACAAGGACTGTCAATTACAATATCTCATTGGCTCCTTAAGATTCTTCAGGGAAAGATATGTTAGCTGGTTTTAGTAGATTATCTGGCTCCAAGTCCAATGCCCTTTCCACTTTACAAAACGGACTCATAAATGAATGACAGATACGAAATTTCTGAGTAAATACAAAAGGAAATGTAAATATAATGCCGTATTATGACTATTTCACCTCTGACTCAATAAGATTTTTTGTTTGTAGCTGGAAACAAAGATTCCTTAGCCACGTGGTGTAATAAACAGAACACCAGCCTGGTAATCAGGAGAACTACCCTAGAGGTACCCTTTCCTATGGCAAAGGATGCTTTCTTAAGTCGGTTTCCTAAATGGAAATTGATCCAGTCTTTCACACATTGCTCTCCAAGCAACTACCTAACCTCTGGAAACTTGATTTTTCACAACCAGTCTTCCTATCCACAAATCTTGCCTCACAGAGCCTTTTATGATATTTGCTTAATTCCCTCCCTAGAGTCCCTTCACTGGGCCGTGTAGAAGGTTGTTGCTGAGTCGATCGGTTGGAGTAGAATTGAAGCTGAGGTGGAATATAAAATAATCAAAAAACAGTGAAATGCAGACAGACAAAATCTGACCTCAAACGCATTTAATAAAAACATTTCATTCAATGAGAAGCTGAGAAGCTTATATTCTTGATTTAAAATGTATGTCAAAGGAGCCATCTCTTCAAGGTCAAACAAGTCTGTTTTGAAGCCGAGCAAGACTGAGAAAGGAAGAAAAACCTTGACAAAACTCAAAATTGCAACTACTCAAAATAGGCTATTAACTTATTAGTCATGTGAGAAGCACTAAATGTATTTACTGCTATCATACTTCCCATAAGTGTCTTCCACAAGTGGAGACTGGGGAATGTACACAGAAAGAATAAAGTAAAACAAGCATAGAGACCATTAATAGTACAAACTCCATGAAGTTCTCAAACGGAAGATGCAGGAGCATACTTTTTAAGACAGTATGTTTCACTAGAGAAAGTTGATATTAAAATCAAGTTGAATATTTGAGTTGTTGAAAAGGGCCCACTATGTATTTCTCCACTAATATCCTTGAATATGTATAATGTCAAGGCTGTCCTTAGTTATTTTGAGGATGGTTACCAGAAATCACTCCCCTTCTCCAACCTCCTCCTCTCTCCTTTCCTCAACTACAGATCTTGTTAAATATGCTTCAGAAGATGAGAAAATAAGGAAGATATCTGACAGATGAGCATTCTCTCCTAGCCTCCCTCTGACATAATTGAGTTGCATATGCCATTATGAAAAGTCAAAACTAGTCACAAATTTTAAGTTTATAAGTTTAATGCAGGAATCCCTTGTTACACAAATCGAATCCATCCCTAAAAGCCTGCTAGTGAATTTTTATAGTAGGACTGTGTTCCCAACCACTTTCCCCAAGTATCACTAAAACACTTTGCAACATCTACCTAACAATTCCCCCATTGTCTAATTATTTAATACTTGCTGCACACCTCAGTGGGTGTTGTTATATGCCAGACCCAACAGTACTGTATAGTTTTGGATATTTTTACATTTTCTTTCAATAATGCAACAAATATATACCCTAATATAAAGAAATTGTTAAGCAACCATTTGAAGATAGACAATGAACACAAAAAACAATTGCAAGAGGAATTTGAAGAGCAAGGCAGATTTTACAAATAGTTGCTTACTGACTGCAGTTACCTGAGTGACGTCTGTCGGCAAGAGGAGGCTGCTTGATGGGAGGTGAAGGTGACCAAGAACCACCTGGTAAAAGAGAGAAACAGTGAATGTGTGAAGTCCACCCACGGTCAAATGCAAGGAACTGGTAGACAGCCTTCTCCTGGCACTTGAGATCCCGTTAACCTTGGTCAACTGGACCAGAACAGGGAAAAGAAGCAGCTCTCCAACCACTTTGAATATTGAGAATGATGGCTAAGACTAAACTCTAGTCCAAGGAGAACACTCTTAAATGCACATTATATCAGACTGCTGAGAAAGAATAGATGGGAAATCCAAAATATAGACAATTTTGTCTTCTACTCTGACACACTATACAACGTAAACAAATGCAGAACTCCTCATTGCTAAGATAACCTCTAACGATCTATCTCTCCAATAATCATGCCAGAGATGCCCAAACCCTGAAGCAAGGAATTCAGCTGGGGTCAAAAGCTAAGCCAGAGATTTGGTTCCACTTGAACTTATGAACAAAAAATGCAAATGCTTTCTCTGGAGCATTTTTCACATAGTTTGCAATGTGGATCCTCAGTTTATTTTTGGCTTGTGTGACAGGAAATTAGTGAAGGGCCCTCTGGGGGCTCAATCATAGATGGACGCTTAGGAACATGCCTGTGTGACGACAAATTTCCTGCCAGGTTGGGACCCCAGCATCAGAAATAGGCTCCCAGTGACTCATTCATCTCCAATAGAGCTCCTGGGATTTCTACAGCATCACAGAGCCCTGCAGAGTGTGAGGATACACCCTGACAGCTGCTTAGCTCTGACTCCAAGCCCTTCTGTGTAAACAGCACTAATCCAGCTGGTTGCTGTCTCTCTCTCACTGGTATCTGGTTCCCTCTGTCCTCTTGTCTAGTCTTCTAAAAGATATCAGAAGCGTAGCTGCCTTTGCCCTGTGAGGAAGACATTTGGATAAATGTCAACTGAACATTTTGATAGAAGAACTGATTGAAGGAGTCTTGGGCTATATATGAAAAGGCAACTGGAATGTGAAAGGTGCAGTCATCTGAGAAATTTGGAAAGGCAAACTACATAAATGACAAAAAGTAATGGCAGCCTGACATGGAGAGGAACATAATCCTGCTGAAACAGAGAACAGATAAAGAAATACTCGCAAAACTCCTTTTCCACACCATAGAGAAAACGTAAGCTTGTTTGTATCGCATATAACAGCTCAAGAGCACACAAAGCGGCTACTCCACACTGCCTGGATTTGCAGCAGGGGATGGATTTTTGCTCCTTTGAGGAGCCTGATTTTGATCATAGTGATGTGCATGTGACCTGAGCAGAGTCAGGAACTGACTTTCCCAAAGAGAAAAGAGAGTATTTTGTGATGCTTCTGATGGTATGCCCTGCTTTTTCCCAATGAGTCTGATCAGCTGCTTTACAACTTATAAGACGACTAGGTACTATGCATTGTTATCCGTTTCAATCCAGCAGGCTCCCTCTCTTTGCTCTGAGCAGGTGGTCTTCTGCTGCTACACAAAAATAGTGCCTCAATCCAGATTCTGGTGGTGTCACATCAGACCCATGTCCCGTGTTACAGGAACAGAGGACATGTGCCATAGTTATCATGATGTGAACATGTCTGTTAGACCCAAGAGAGACCGTGTGTGTGTGTCTGAGTGACCATTTTCAAAAAGCAGCAGGTTTTGTTGTTGCAGTAAGTATCCTTAGACTAGGAAAAGGCTCTGGAGGCAGACTAGGTGTGGTCTTAGGCAAGTTACCTAACTTTTACAAGTTTTTTCTTCTTTATACATGAAATCACAATAATACCAACTACCTTACAGGTATTGTGTCAAATTTAGAGAGAATGTACATAAAGTACAGGGAACTCGGGAGGAAGGCCATAAATTAGATAGATTTTATTTTTATTATAATTATTAAGTTGGAAAGCTATTATTTAACACACTGGCTTTTTTTAAACCTTTCCAGGAACATCACAAGGAAACCATTCCTAGCCTCAGGTTCTCTCTCATTCCTTGAAGAATTCTATCAAGGGTTCAGGGGAATCTGAGGGTGAAGAGTAGAGGTGCGCCTCCGAGAGCTGCATGTCCCTGGCCCATTTATTGGTCAACAAGGATTATAATAACAGAAAGCTTTTCTCAGGAAATGGCAATCAAAGGGTGAGCCTAGTAATACCTCTCCTTAAAAGGCAAAAGTAAACTCTCACTGACTTTCAGTTTACAGAAAACTCTGAAATAATGTCCACTCGCAGGAGATGGTGTTGCTCATAAATGGTGTTCAAACTTTATTCCAAACAAGCTCATTAATAAACAAAGAAGGTTGTACACTTCATTCATTCGATCATGATGGGAAAACAGAAGCACAGAACTGAAAATCTGTATAGCATATCACGTCTACACAGATTTCACTAACAAATGGGCATTCCTCCTGCAGTGAATTCCCTCCTTTATATTATCATGGCCACAATATAAAAAGAACCATCCTGGTCAGTTGTCATAAGTGTTATGAATTTATCACAGCTGTACCCACACAAGTCTGTTTGCCAACAGCTGGGTCTGAATTCATAGTCCATTCTCCTTGACACACAGAGCTGACCATCCAAACGATGCCTTATCACAACCCACAGAGGCTTCAACAAAAACAAAAGCCAAATACCTTCAGAACAACCCCTACAGACTGACGCTGATCCCAAACCAAGGATGGGTTCTATTTCCGATAAACTCACTTGAAGATTTTCGGGGGTTGTATATATGAACGGGCGCATGATGACCTAAAGGATAATCCAGAAATATTTCAAGGGTCACTTCACAGACCAAACTGTACTTTATTAATAGGATATTTAAAAAGTCAGGAATAAGAGCTTAAGTTTTAAACACCTTAATCAAATGGTATTTTAATATGAGCAGCAGATACAACTGTCTCCTATAAATTCCCAGTGCTTACTTGCATTTCTTTCTTGGAAGGTTCAAAATTCCTCAGCTGTTTCTTCCTGATTTATCTGACTCAATGGAGCCATTCAGTGATATCCTTAATCAGACCTAGGAGCTGTCCTTTGTTTGGCTCATATTTACTGAGCACCAAGTATGAGGCGCAGAGAATGGTTCAGCTAGTTCTCTCTGGGGTGGACCCAGTGATGGTATATGGTCAGACCACCCAAGACGGCTGTTCTCTTGCTCTCTGTACATCCCCTCCTTGACCAGTACCTGTTTCACCTACACCCTACTCACATAACTGACCTTCCTATGTACTTGCCCCAGCCCCCAGCTAGTGATTGTTCTTACCAAAGGGGCGGTGAAGGGCTTGCCCTTCTGCTAGTTTCCCTGGTAACCCATGAGCCAACCTGACATACATTCCCTCTATAACTGGTAATCTTCCCTTCCCCACCACCCCCTCCACCGGAAGCCAAGACTGCGACCATGTCCTGCCCCACCATCCACCACATACAGTGGGGTGTCACTCCAAGACTTTGCTTCAGACACGTAAGATTCCCCTATCCATTAAACCAATAGTGTCTCTGTCACCAACTCTGAGCTCTTTCTTCAGTCTTGAAGCTCGCAAGTACAGAGCTTGAAGGCCTGTGCGGTGCAGACCAACAGGTGGCAAAAGCAAATATTCAATCCAGATACTTGGAAAAGTATCCCTTTATCAGATCACCCAGAAACCAAAGATACTCCTCTTGTGGGACATTTCAACACAGAATTGTTTGGGGAGCTAAGTGAATTATATTTTTTATTTAGATTCAAATGTGATCTCCTAACGGTTTCAAGCATATTTTGCTTTTATTAATTTGCCTTAATTAACAGTACTTACCATAGTACTTATCATAGTACTGGACTATATACTTATTTTTTAAATTAACATTTGTAGAAGTAAATTAAACTAAGGCACATTCTCAGGAGAAAGAAAGGTGAAGCAGTCCACTGGGGCTCATTCTGGTGCTAATATTTTATTTGGTTCTCACTTGCCTTTAGAGTTTCTTCAAGAAGGGATTATGTCAGTAGTTTAACACTCTGTAAACTGAGTGACTGAACTTCAGCACAGAATTCAACCTCCAGTTTAGAGGATTTATCTGAAGGGTTTTTATGGGCAAATGGTGTCTTCTGCATCGACTGTCATAAAATTGGAAGTAATTTCACAAATGGGGGTCCCGTTCAAGTTCCAAAGTGAGACGGAGCAAGGTTCTAATCCCTGTCCTGCCACTTGCCAGCAGTACCTTCATACAAGTTGCCAAGCCCTTTAGGGCTCACTTTTCCCATATGTAAAACAGAAAGGATAATGGTTCTATCTATGGGACAGCTTCAAGGATTAACAGAGAAAGTACACGTGCATTTTCAGAGAAACAGAACCAACAGGACATATAGAGATATATGAGGAGGGATTTATTATGGTAATTGGCTTATGTGATTATGGAGGTCAAGATATGCCACAATACACTGTTGGCAAGCTGGTGACCCAGGAAAGCTGGTGGTATAATTCAGTCCCAGTCTGAAGGCCTGAGAACGGGGGGATCAGATAATGTAACTCCCAGTTCAAGGTCAAAGGCTCAAGAACCAGGAGCCCCCATGTCCAAGGGCAGGAGCAGATGGATGTCCCAGCTCAAGGAGAAAATTCATCCTTCCTCCACCTTTTTGTTCTATTTGTACCCTCAATGGATTGAACAATACCCACCCACACTGGTGAGGGTGAATCATGTTTACTTAGTCTGCTGTTTCAAATGCTAATCGCTTCCAGAAACGCCATTCCAGACAAACCCAGAAATAACGTTTTACCAGCTATCTGGATGCTTCTTAGCCCAGTCAAGTTGGCACATAAAACTAACCATCGCAATAGGTAATACACTTAGCACTAATCACATAATAAATACCCAATTAATACTGACTCTCATAATTATTCTTACAGCCATCTTTAGCCTCCAGTTCCAAACTTAGTTCAGTTTGTTGGTTACAAGAGTCCCAGGTGCTGACCTGGGTCTGACCTGCAGACAAGGATCTCTTCTTTGGTCTCATTCTTTTTTTTTCTCTGAGGGGTAGCACAAGCTCTTACTAAAGTGAACAGCTCTTAGTAATCACAATAAATGCAAGGAGCAGTAGACATAAGTGTCCAGATTATGAAGGAAACACTTAAAGAAGCCTTGAAAGACGTAACTAGATCATAATAAAGCAGAACATAGTATTCAAAACTGAAATCTAAATTTCTCTAACCCACTGACTTCCCAGCCTCCAAACATTACTAGGTTAATAAACATTGTGGACTGATTAATAGGTGAAAATAACAGCCTCTACTTTCACTGTTTAAAATGTTTAATTATTTTGTTAACGCATCAGAATAGGGCTTGGATCCATGAAATTCTGTTTGAAATTTGAGTATAACCCATGTTATAACCACAAATCCAAGAAGATATATCAGTTTTGCTCCTGA